GGAAGGAAGGAAGGAAGGAAGGAAGGAAGGAAGGAAGGAAGAAAATAATCCAGGTTCCCCCCACCCTAAAACGTAAGTTATACTATACTAGATACAATAGCTAGGTTCAGATAAACCAGACTGCTGATCTGTGAGCCAGGTGATGTTATCTCAGTGCTTTACAAAACAGGTTAACTGTCCATAAGAGCACAGGAACAGTTTCCCCTTTGGCTTTCATAAATTAAAATTTGTAAGAATTGAATTTTTAAATTTTTAAACAGTTTTATTTTTCTGCTTCTGTGACATTCAAATATTAGATTGTTTTAAGGTGTTTTTCTGATGCATCAGGGAGAAAGCATTCAGAAGAAACAAGTGGGACTTGGAATATCAGGCAGATTGAAATATTGCTGTTTAAAAACCCATGTTGGTATTTCAGCAGCTATTGACATTTTCTTCAGCCAGAAGTTAATTTTGTCCTCTCCACCGTGAATAGCATGATTTGAGTTACATATAGAGAATCGTTTTTACCTAACTCTCAAATAGGTTTCTTTATCATCTTTTTAGCTTCCTTTATTTTTATAAAATAAAAAAAAATTATTAATAAGTCAAAGCTGAGGGTAATACTAACTCAGTATGAAACCAGAAACACACACACACACACACATATCCACATACACTATATACTCCAGCTTGAAGATGTAAATATTTCAAATATTTCCCATACAGACAATAATTAAATATATTATTAATCCTGCTAATAAATGATCCAATTTAATTGAATTTGTCTTTCATAAATTTTTCAATATCCTTTTGTTTTTTCCCAAAGCAAACTTTCACCTGTATAAATACCACCGATCGAAAAAATATATTATATTTTGATTTTCCTGTTTTTGTATTATAAAGAATTCCAGTGTGATCTTAATTATTATCCCAATTTTTAAGGATAAGTTGGCATTTCCAGTGTGAAAGTTTTATTTATACAATCTTGATCATATTCCCTTGTCATTATGTAAAGTAGACCTCTTATGCAGGAAATCTGATTAAGAGTCATATCTCCAAAATAGATTTGATAAGATAGAGTTGATATCTACAAAATCCAAGGAAGATTTAATATTTCCAGAAGAGATTTGAATGAATCATATAGTGTCACGGTGTTGCATTAAGACTGGGGACCAACCCTACTCTTGGCTTCTGACACTCATTGGGTGATAGTGGAGCAATCATACTCTCTCATTGGAAGCTTCCCATCAAGAAATAGCTAGAGGGAAGGGGAGAATGGAAAAGAGTATAGACTGAATGTTGCCTTACTCTCCCTAAGTTAAAGTATAATGTACAACTAACTCATAAATCAATAATGTATATGCCCTGTTTTTTCATGAATCTTCTGACTAAGATTAAAAGATTAATGTAGTTGGAGTCAAATGGAGTCCAAGAAGATTATATCTCTCCACTGCTCTTCAAAAGATATTTCTTCTGTGAAGTCTTGGGTGCTCTCTCTGTTTATTGTTTGCTTGCAAACCTTTCATTCCCGTACTACATAAAATCATCTCCACACTTCCCAAATCCCACAATCATTGAACTGATGATGTTGATTAGCTGGGTAATGAAACATCTGTAAGCAAACAACCAGAGCACCAAGGATTCCACCAAGGAACAATCCTGAGCTACAGATGGTCCCTTCTAATGTTTGTTGTTGTTGTTGTTGTTGTTGTACGCACCTGATCGATAGCGCTCATCTCGTGACCCTGAGGATCTACGGCGATGATATCGAGAGGAGGAGGATGGAGTTACTGGTGTTCGGCGTTCTTGTGGCAGTGCTTGATCCACTCCTGCATTTGCAGAAAACAAAAGGAAAAAATATCAGATTCTGTCCATTATTTTTTAGAATTATGGTAAACATGGCATAAGGTGGATGCAAATAAAACTTTGAACTGCTTAAGTTGTCAAGAACTCTATGCTAGAGTTGATACAAAGCAAAGAAATTATTACAACATAGGATTTTATGACACTGTTCAAAATCAAAGGTGTGAACAAAGCATCTACATTATTGCCAATAACTGCAGCACAAATATGCAAAATGCAACAGAACAACAACAACTCTGGGGAATGCACTTTTGTGACACTGTCATGCTTGAATTGTACAAATCAGAAACTGATCAAGAAAATGTTTGGTAGAGTTAGAATCATAAAACAGCAGCATCAAGTATAGTAATTCTGCCCATGTTCCATTGGTATACAATCAAATATCTTATGAGTCAAATAAAGCAATGTTTGCTAATCCCTTTTACTGTTGCAAAGTGAAAGTACTCTAAGTGCACCATATAAATGTCTACATTATAGGAAAACGCAACTGATTCAGATGCCTCCAGAAGTGAAACATCAACCAAAGTTTGAATTGTCCCTTTCATAGGTTAGGATTGAGCTCTAGATAGAAAAGGAAAATCATGAAATCTCGCCCTTGCTATCTCCAGAATGAATGGAAGAAACTCTTTCTTTAAACAGAAGAAGGAAGTGAACAATTGCTCCTATGGTCCACCTGAGCAGAGAAAGACAATTCTTCCTCTATTGAAGTAATGGACAATGGAAAATAAACAATCTGCCCTTCCATTTCTGCAGCAGAAAAGGGGATGAAATGTTGAATGAACCTGGTGCTGAATTCTTGTGGACTACATCTGGTTTGCAGCTCTAGAGAGTCACCAGGCACTTTTGTTGATTTTATGCATCAAATCAAAATATACCCACTGAGCCTTTCCAAAACAAGGTTTTCCCAGCTCTTCAGCTTAATGAACCCCATCTGCTGTCTCCAGATGCTACTACCTTTTGATTCCTTAGGAAGATGGATCCCAGTATATTTGACTGAAGGAGAAAGAATATGGAGGTAAGAGTTTTTAAATGTCCCATTTGGCAGTATCTCCAAACAGAGCATTTAGACTATTCAGTATGTTACATTAAAAACAAGCAAGTTAGGAGCTGAAACAAGAAATAACTCTGTGACGGATTATGTGCTCCGTACTGCCTTGGCAAACGGTTAAAAATAAATACGAGCTAATTGAAATAATCAGTTCAGCAGCTCTTTCCAAAGAGCATCATGTGGCTGAGCTTGGAGCAGGCGACAGCTCTATTTTAGGTCTACAAATTAGATACTATGGTGATAAGAACCACAGGGGACAAAAAAGACAACCCTGCTTATTTGAAAGATAGTTTATCTGCCCTCCAACCTGATACCAATGAAAAATTATTGTATACTACAGGATGTTTCTATACTTAAGTATAATATTTGTATTTGTCTTGCAATACCTTATACAGTTTTATAAGCCAATGAGACAGTATGAGGTATAAAATTGGAATACTATAATTTTTCAGATAAGGCAAAAATGGGCAAAGTATCAATTGAAGTGGGATAATCCATGAGCTGGATGAAGTATCCTAGTCTCAGCGTCTCTTCTCTTTGTATAATTTCAGTTTCTATTTCCAACTGTGGTGTTGGTGTCAATACTACCAAACAGAACTATTAGTAAGAACTTTTTTATATGTTATGATATTCTTAGAATCCTATAAATCTGCAGCTATTGAGATGATCTAATTAATTCGTGAGTCCCAGTTTTTATTCTCTTTGGAATCAGATCTTCTTCTTGTGTCCTGTTCATGCAGTAGTCAGTTGCTGGTTCATTCATTTTTTCCAATGACATGAGCACATTTCTCTGGTAAGAAGCCTTAAATAGAAAATGTCTAATTCAATTTTCTGCCTCCATTAAAGGTCAAAATAGGACCTCCTTTTCCTTTCTCCCATATACAAGGGATATAAATATGACTTTATGGCTGGTTCCCAAGTTTTCTTCAAACAATGGAAGTCCAGTACAAGCTTTTATTAGGTATTCAGCAGGGCCAGTCAGTTGCAATTTTTAAAAAGCCTAGTTTTCTTGCAGGGTAAATATAGAACACAAAATATTAAGACTCTGGTATGCAGACCATTTTGCATGACAGAAAACCCTCACAAATATTAAACTCCAAAAATCCAGTGAAATATTGTTATCAAAATCATCTTAGAAACATCATCTATATGTGTGGCACATATAGTGCTGGAACCTGTAGTCAGATGGAATTGCTTTTTTCAGAATTAAATTTATGCAAATAAATAATGCAGAAGGCAATCTGTAGAGTTTATAGATTCATTGCTATAGCCTTGCATGGAGGATTATATCTTGTAAAATCATGTACTATATTCTCTTGAAATCTCTCTTGATCTGTTTTCTAGGAGTCACTCAACGTTGAACACCCAGCTAGAAAAATGTTAATTATATCACATCTCTGAATGAGAAGGTAACAGAATATAACCTGAAGCTGAATTAACTTGTCCTTTGTTTGGAAAATGCATGATGAAAATAAATATATAAAATCAATAAATTAATTGGTAGTGAAATACATCCAGCATTCAATTACTTGAAAGGAATTCTCTTCTGAAGCCTTTTTTAATCTATAAAGAAGATGAAAGTAAAGAGAGAAAAGAGAGAAACTTCCATCATACATGGCGATGATCACTACTTTGGATTTGAGAGATTCAATAAAATTGGGATATCAGTGGCTATAAATCTTGACAATGAAGGTTATCTTTTGGATCTCTGACTGTTACTAAAAATGACAATGGACAAGAGATTTTGCTTGCCCATCCATAAGTTGGCTTCATAAATGGTAGGCCGTTATATGATACAGAATGCTGATAGTAATGCTGGAATATCTAAAGCCAAAATTGGGAACTATGCAAATATTTAAGAACTACTAGATTAAAAAATCACCACTGTCAGAAGAAATCCGTTGATTTGTGAGAAAGGCCAGAAGAAAATGGAAGTTTAAATCGCAGTGGGTGTACAAAACTGTTGCTGGGAATAAGCAACCAATTAATTCACCTGGGTCCATTCTTGCTTGCAATAAAGATTCTTATTTAATTGATCTGTGTCTGTGAGCCATATCCAAACTTAAGAGCTATATAAAATGAGAATCTCTGTAATTTAATCCTGAATCCTTTAAAGCAGTGATGGCTAACCTTTTCCGGACAGAGTGGCCAAAGTGCGTTTGCAGGAGAATGCGGGCGTGCACACCCAAACCCCCAAAACTCAATGCGTGTATGGCTCATGTGCATGTGCCCCTCCCACACACACTTGCACAGACACCCATAGGTGACCCACCTCCACACGTGCCTCCTGCATGCACCTTGCCCCCCTGCATGCACGTGCACCCTCCACGCATGCATGTATCGCCCTCCCACACACCCCTGCTCCCCCCACATGTGCAGCAGAAACTCGACAATCAGCTGGCCAGCAGGAGGCGCACACGCATGTGCAGCAGAACTGATCTGGGGTGACGGCCCACAGAAAGGGTGCTGTGTGCCATCTGTGGCACACATGCCATAGGTTCGCCATCACAGCTTTAGAGGGAGCATAACAATTCCAGGACAACTCTTCTTATATTCTTATCATTTCTTTACACCTCTAATGCAACTGGGTATTTTGGAGTTAACTGATTTCTGGAATATCAACATATCTGAAAAGCTTCACATGAGGAATGCTGACTTAATGGCTGTCAAAGCAGACCGAAGCAAGAATCTCCTAATCTAAATTGCTATGCCTTAGCCCCTAGTTTTGAACATATAGGTAAGAAGTAATCAATAAGCAATCAATGTTTCCTACTCAATGAGTTTTAAGGAAGATTTATTCCCTTGCTACTATTCATGCTTTTGAGATGAAGGAAACGAACAATCAGCAACTACAATTATTACCTGGGACCAAACGTAGGAAAAATGGAATCAAGATTCAAAAACCTGCCTTCAATAAGAGAATCCCAGACAACAAGATTTTTTCAGGATTTTCATACTGCCCCTCCCTTAATGGAACAATAGTGCTTTAGTTTGAGGAAAGTTGCTTCATTTTGATTCTTACGAAATTTGGAACCAATTAAATTGGATTCACGAGTGGAGAATGGCAACTATATAATATATATTTACACCCATCTCTCCCAACATCTTAATTCTTATAGAATCAGAAGTCATCTAATCCCTACACCAACCATCTACTCAACGCTTTACTCTTTGCAGCATCTGTTTGAACATTTCCAGTCTCTGACTGAAGTTCTATAGAGACAGAGAATATAGCATTGTAAAAGAGAGTGGAGATAGCCTTGAAGAAATTATGCAACAGCTGTTATAAAAACATCAGCTTAATCCACAAAGGCAGGAGTGAGTGAGGAAGAAACTCAGTATTGTTGCTTTTTAACTCTCTTTGTTATATGAGAATAAGAGAAATTCTAATAGGTTTTCAAAGTTCTGTTTTTCCTTACAAGACCTAACATAAATCTAGCTCCTTGTATTTTCAAACCACTGGTTTTTGTTTTGCTCTTTGAACAACAGAGAGTAAGAACACTCCTTTGTCCACTTAATAACCCATAAGTATCTAAAAACTGCCTGCTATCATGTCTTCTCAGCTTAAACATCCCAGGTCTTTTAAGTGGTTGTTTCCAGACTCTTCCCTCCTCTTGATAGCCACCCTCTGAACTTACTCCTGATTGTTGTTGTGTTTTGCTTTTCCTTTTTCTATGAACTGCTTCCTGTTAGAATGCTTTACTTAACTCTGCAATATGGAGCAATAATATTCTTTTCCTAGCTACTGGTAAGTTCATTTAAAATGTATATTCTATTGATTCCCTCTCCAATCACATTAAAGTACTCTAAAACCCAATTTAGAATTCTTGAAGAGAATAAATTTATGTTGAAGACAATTGTGTCAATCAAACATTCCATTCCAAATATGCATAAGGGATGTTTCAAGTGTCCAAATTGAGATCAGGTGACTGCAGGGATGGTGAGGTAGTTTTAACTTTGAACACAAAAACTTTTTCTCTGGCTGTCATAACTTCAAACTATTGTTAAACAAATGGTCATAACTCAAGGACTACTTGAACATTGAGATAATCCTTCATCAAGTCTCAAATCTGGACTGGCATGAAGTACTCAGATATAACTAACATACTATTTTTTTTTTACTATAAATTCATACTTCCATTCCAATGAACTGATTGGGATGGATGAAAATGGAAGTCATAGGAAGATTGCCAATTAGTAAAATAAGAAGTTTGAATACAGAAGATCCCAGACAGAATTCCTAGACTAGCTTTCTCAAATCGGACATTTTCCAATGATGCAGAATTCTAAATTCCAGAAGCCTTTCCAAGAAATAGTAGCAGGTAGTATGAACTATTCTAGTTTAGCATATGACAGCCTCAGTTAACAGAACCTATTTTGATTTTAGGGTGTTTTTGTTTTGTCATTTGCTCTTAATTGTTTGGTGGTTTAGGTCCACCAATTAAAATCAGACGAAAATAGTCATTTAGGACACATGTCAATACTCTAAAATTTAAGGAACAAAATAGAATTGTGTGCTCAGTGTTTGCAACAACCATGTATGTCCTTTCACATATAGATTCATTCCCATTTTCCTCCCAAATTTAAGCATTCATTTGGAATAATTTAGGGTTTTTTTTCCAGTTACCATAAGAGATGGTGCCTATGGAGGGGATCTAGTGTAGTGAAGAAGGAGTTGGAGAGGACAAGAGACAGCAGAGCCCAGAGAAGGACAGGAGATAGAGGAAGAGAGTTAGGATAGCCATTCCTTAGAATCTCCTAGGGTATATCCATTAGGGTGAGATTAATAATAGTTTAGTCTGGCAAGATTCTGTCTGTTGTATGTAGGCAAATAAAGAACCTATCTGTGGCTGGCTTGTTCTACATTGTTCTTGAGCTAAATCTAATAGTTATTGCTTTTATTGGATAGCTAAAGATCAGAAAAAATTATAAATGACTACAACTCACTCAGAGATCTACGTACAGATTCTGAACTAATCCTATCACCAATGATAATTTAGGCCAGCAGCCCCCAAGCTTTTGGGCACCAGGAACCAGAAAGGTTTTTTTCATGGACTGGATGAGGCATAGTTTTGCATGTTGACTGTGTCCCATGGATGGGCTTTGCTTGTTTGCACAGCCCAGTTTTTGGCATGCCGCATACTGATGCCAGTCCATGGATTGGGGGTTGGGCTGATGGGGTGGCCTCTGATGGCCTCTGATTTAGGCTGTTAACATACATTTCCCACAGAGAACATGGCTGGAAAAAAATCAACTTTTTGTGGCTACATCTGCCATATCATACAAATATTTCACGATGCTGGAGTAAGGCAGGGTAAGAATGAATTAGTTTGTTTCCATCATTAATCAGCATCAAATCCATGGAACAGATACCCTCAAAATAGATGTTTCAGTGCCATCTCAAATATAACCAGAGAAAAGACTATGTAGTAGACAAATGCTTTATTAGAGGTCATAGAGCTACCAAGCAAGACCATACAGAATTGTCCTTCAGATGGTGCATTGTGGAAAACTGCAGAGAGATCCACATTGGAATGGAATATGGTACTTGCTTTCAGAACACTGAGCAGAAAAGCAATAATGACCTTCATAGATATCACTAAAACCATACTTTTAAAGTAAACTGCTACTCTCTGGTTCACACAATACTCTAAAACACATATGCATGGATCAATAATTTATGCTACAGACACATTTTTCAAGCCTCTTTTCCCAAAGTAGCAAATGAGTTGGCAGAAATGACCTTGACTAAGTCAACACTTGTCTTTCAGAGATGGCTTTGGAATGTCGAGCAAGATCCAATTCTCACAAGTTTGTAACTTTTCTCAGGAATATTGCTACTCTAGCAGATCCACAAATCGAGCTGGAACTGCATTAGGTACACATTGTGAAACAACCCACAAATAGTGTGCAATTCTGGGATTGCAAATGTCACTTTTCTGTGTGCTGTAACTTCCTTCCCATTCCATATCCATGAAATCCAACCAACTTCTTTCAAAATTCTTGTCAAACATATACAGATATATAAACATAAGTACAGTTGTTTGTGCTCACCAAAACGAAAGTAAAAGAGGGGACGGTTTGCTGCTGTGCTGTGCGGTGCTGTGCGCTCTCTAGCTGCTGCTTCCCGGATGTCACAGACCCCAATGTTGCTAGTGCGGTGCATCCTTCTTGCGGGCCCTTCACTGTGCTGCAGTCTACACCGTACCGCGGCAGCTCCATTCGCCGCTGTAACAATTCGAAAAAAACTAATTAAATCATGTTTAGTTTTTTTACATTTGTTACAGCCACGGATGGAGTTTCAGCCCCCATGCAGTTGAGGTATGTACACACACAAGTCCCAAAGCAGGTGTACCTGCACATATACATACATCCCCACCCCACCCCCAAACATACAAACACATATACAAACATTGTAAAACAGAGCCACATAATCAATTTCCCACTAAGCCAACATTGGTGTTTGTAATGTCAACAAAGCAGCAGCCACAGAAGACTGGATGTTGAAATAGTCAAGAGCTGCCTTTTGGTTTACAGCCAGTATTTTGGGTATGTTTGCTCAAAACGTAAAAGCACCTTACCCAAAGAATTACATGAAGAATTAGATTGTTTTGGTTTAAAGATGTAAAACACCAAACTTTCCCAACGATTTGACATTGCATTTTCCAATAGATCATAGCAAATAGTGATCAAAGTGCAACTAATGGCACGTTAAAACAACATCATCCCCAAAATGGGCAAAGCAACTCCCCTTTGGAAGAATCTAGAAGCAAGCAAGTTTCATCAGAAGAAAACACCAATTTTGTCTGGAAAGTGCTGAAGACAGAAATATAGGAACAAAGACTATGACAAATACACAATCTCCTGTCTCTAGGAAGCAGTAGTGTGCAACTTTAGCAGCTGCTCATTGTTGGCATAACACAATGAGAGAACCGCACAGGGGCGTCTCCTACATATTTTTCCCAACTTTGCTTTAGAAGAAATAGCTAATGCAGGACAAAGTCCATAAATTTGGCAGGGAATCTTAGAAACTCTACAGAATGTGTTAGCAGAGGCTGAACTTAGTATTCTAGCAATCACACTTTTTTTAAAGAGTAAAAATGCTAGAAGAGTACAAATGCAAAGATGTCGGGAGAGTTTATCAGCGGTTTTTTTGATGTCTCAGGAAAAATATGATCAGTCGAATTTTTTTTATCCTTTTACTTCAGACTGGCAAAAGTGTGTGTATGTGAATTACCTCCAAAAAAGCAAAACAAATTATGAAAAACATTTGCTTTATTTGCATAGGGGAACAGGTAAATTATATGATATTTTCTTAAGAATAGATTTTGAATTTTTTGGAAACAAAATTGTTTTTCTTTAAAAAAATGTTTTTCTTAATGCAACAAAAATTTGCATTGTTTTATCTAAAAAATGAATTGCCAATAGATTTCTGGACTCCTCTGAATGGCAGATTTTGACCTTTGTATATTCTGTTCATGACCTTTGTATATTCTGTTCACTTCTAAAATGAGAGAAGTAGGTCTCAAATAATTAAATGGTTTTGTATTTGGAATGGTCTTCTCTAAGTTAATTTTCTACGTGGATAATGCTAAAAATGTCATATTTTTTATACTTGATTTGGAAGAATGCTAAATTTGTAAACTCTCATTTGTGATCTTCCAGATTGCAGCCTGGAAACTATGAAAATTCAAGTGAAAATTGTTTTAAAGCTTATTATTTGTCCCTACATGACATGGAGATCAGACTGCAAATGCTTCATGGCACTAACAAGACTATACTGGCAAGATCTTCCCCACTATAACTCTGCATATACAAGTAGTCCTCGCTTAACAACTGATCTATTAAGTGGCTGCTCAAAGTTATGATGGCAATGAAAAGGTTAACTTTATGACAAGTCCTTGCATTTATGGGTATGGCAGCACCCCCTGCAGTTATGTGATTAAAAATTGGGCATTTTGTAACCAGCAGGAATTTATGATTGTCACAGAATCTCATGATTGCATTATGGCCACTTGCACTTCTACTGAATTCCATCCAGTAGAATCTACGGAGGAACTAGAGTAAAATTGGAAGTGGATGTTGATGTCTTGCTTGAGATCCATAGCAGAAACGACATCGTAAGTTTAGTGCAATCATGCAATGTTCTGCTTATTGACCATATTGCTTAGCAATGGAGTTCTCAGTCCAAATTGTGGTTGTTAAGATAAGACTATCTATAATATACACTGAAGCCAGAAAAATATAAGGGCAGTTCATATATTTATGTATGTGTAGGTAATTTGTCTGTTTGGACTGTGCATGCCTATTCAGCAAACATGCATAGTTCTATTTTTTCTAATCTAAGTGCATATTTTAAAGTTACTCTAGTGCAGCCTTCCCAATCTGCTGCTCTCTAGTTTTATATGCATACATATATACATAACTTTATACATACACATACATATACATACATTTTTTTTTCCTGGGGAATCATAATCTAAAAGTTAATTGGCCTTGAGGACTGAAACATCAATGTAAATCCAAAAATTTTAATCCAAAGCTAGTTTTGCCAGACAGAGGAAATTCTGAAAATTAGGTGAGCACCATCTACTTAAAATCAATGACCAAGTCCCACAAAATGCCTTCTTAATCATCTTAGATGCTATGGTGTCACAGGTTCTGGGGAATGCATACATTTCAAACTCCTTCTTAAATATTTGGAGAAGAACTGAAATAAAATCCTGATACTGCCTTGTTTGGGAAAACTTAATGAAACTTTTCGAGACTAATGGAAGAATTCCTGTAGCAATTAAATCCACAATGTGAGTCCATGCAACCTTTTTGAACCCACATTTTGCTTCCCTCATCCGTACAGAGCTACATGTTGATTACGGAAGCGTGACATTCAAATTCCAGATTATATTATGCCCAAGCAAGGCAGGATTTATAAGTAAACGAACAAGCTCCTTTAAAACCAGCTAATAATCCTGCTTGTCGGGGTGCAATAAAACCTCATCCTGGATTCAGATGTCATGCAGTACTGAGCTAGTCTGACTCATTCACCTGCCGGCATGAGTGGGAAAATAAGAGGATAAAGCAGGAAGAAATAGGCCATTTAGCCTTGGCTTCTATGCATATGAAAATAATCCTATGTTTAACTGTCCCTTGGTCCTGTTCTATACTAAGACATATAGAGATCTATTTATATTATTGTAACTTTCTTTAAGATATAAATGCATGCTTGTATAAAGTATTTTGCTACATTATTGGGTTTTTCTTTCTCTCATTAAGGGAGAAAGAGAGGGTAAGGAAAGAGACCAAACCTAATCAGAACTTATTGATCAACTAATAGTACTCTGAACAGATGTTATGTATGTACGGCAGAAAGGATGGACTACTGGACTCAGGAATCATAGTGGGAAGAGGAAGACACTCATAGAATCATAAAGTCATAGGGCTAGAAGGGACCTTGAAGGTCTTCTTGTTTAAATGCCTGCCCAAGGGAGTTGGACTTGAATATACCTATTATTCCCTGTTATTGTCCTTATTTTGATTGGGTTTCTGCAATTGTTATTTGCTTTGTAAGAGAAAATGGTACTGGCACAACTGGAGACCTTCCTACCCATCATGTCACCCTATTGCTGAACATCAGGGAAGTCAAGCAATTACTGTACCAGCTGGAGTTTTGTGCTGTCCATGACTCATTGCTTGCAGTGGACTATTAAAGGTTTGGTGGTACATCAAGTTTTTATACTCTGCTATGGTACCAGTGAAATCCTCTACTTTCTTACCGGGCCCTCTGCCAACCTCCTTGATTCTAAAAAGCTATAATTGCAAGTACATAAAAAGAAATTGGCCAGCAGGCAACAAAGATGTGAAACCCTTCTAATGCCTGGCTAGATACCTTCAGCTATTTAAAAATAATAATCATACATTTGATTTTTGAGAGTTGTCTGGTTTATCCATACCACAGAGCCAAAAGAATAAATTTCACTGCATTAATTATGAATGAAATAATCACCTATTTCTCACTGTTTAATTTCTGCTACTGTTATGTGGACCACAGTGAAGTGCGCCAAGGTGAATGTTGTCATTTGTCCCAAATACTGATAACTGAGATAGCCTTGTCCAATTGGACATCTTCCAGTTGAATTTTAAATACATCTTCCAAGATTCCTCAGCCATGCTAAGCAGCTGGGCAGTTTTGGAAGAAGCAGATCCAACAGATTAGGGAGCAATAATTAGAACACAGTTGGTCTGAGATGTACTGTCTCTAAAACTGAAAGGACATTGGTTACAGGAGTTTCATTCCTATCTATAAGGCCATGATCAGAGAAAGGAAATGGGAAATTTATCTTTGGCTCCAGGGTGCTCAAATGTCATCTGTGGAGGTATTCTAGACTTTCTCTTGTACTGTTCAATATTTGGAGTGCAGTGTCCAGATAATGGATTTGATTATCTTTCCTTTTTCATTTTCTCCAAAATCTATGGATAATCCTTAGTAGGTAATAATGGAGTAAGGTGAAACTAATTAAGTGAAACTGGGTCTACTTAAGACAGAGATAGTGTGGACAGATGTTTTCCATGGCCAATAATTTTGAAGGTTGCTTGTCATGAATGAGGTAGCATTCCCTCCAATGATGTGTATCTTAAGGATTTTACTCAGTTCCAAATTTTATAACTTTTTGACACATTCTATAGATGTATTCTGCTCACAATGCCTATTTCTGGAAATATTCATTTCTTTAGGAAAATATTTTTGAGGGAGATGGGCAGTTTAGAAATATGAAATATAAATTAATAAAAACTTGTTGATTTTAAATTAGAAATTATTAAAAGATGGCCAGATATTATTTACTTCTATAATTTTAGTTTAAAATAGTTCAATACTTTTCAACAGTCTCATCTAGCTCCATTTACCATGTGATTCCTATTGCTGCGTGGTGGCACAGTGGTTAGAGTGCAGTTTAGTAGGCTAACTTTTCCCACTGCCAAGAGTTTGATCCTGGCCAGCTCAAGGTTGATTCAGTCTTCCGTCCTTCTGAAGTCAGCAAAATGAAGATCCAGATTATCGGGGGCAATATGCTGACATTTGTAAACTGCTCAGAGTGCTGTAACACTATGGAGCAGCATATAAACCTAAGTACTAGTGCTATTGTTATGAAACTGGGATGGGAATGAGAAGAGTTGGACACTTAGGCCATATATTTAAACAAGGAGACAAACATTTGTCCACAAGAACTAGCTAGTGGGAGCAACTGACACACATTACACAATAGTGACAGATTCTTTTGTGGCTCCAGATAACTCTCTACGATGCACATTAACAGATTGTTGTAATGATTAATACACATGACAGTTCCATGCACTGATTTTAAATTTCTACATACCTGGAGGTTGTGGCAAGTAAGCCCCAATTAATTTTGATCTCTTCTTTTCATAGCCCTTCTGTGTGATGTCACCTGCCAAAGAAAGGAAAGAAAATCAAGACAAGCTTTAATGAAGAAAGAACTCATCTGCTCAAGTCAAGAAAGTAAATGCTTTTCTTTGCACCACTGTTTGTTTTGATGATCATAATGAATAAATGATTGAAAATATATCGTTTCCATTTTGCCTGGAAAAGATCATTTAAGCTGCACCCATTTTTGGCATCTAAACTCCCAGTGTAGTTTTCTACCAATTGATTCAGAGGGCTGCATTGTCATTGCAATATTCTGTCTTATAAAAATACAGCAGTTTTCATTATGTTAATCAACAATGGATTATATAGGATATTTGAGCCGGTAATGGCTGGCAAAGGACATTGCCAATTAGCATTTTCCACCACTATTAATGGGATTCTTTAATCAAGCATGAAGGATGCACAAAAGATTTGGAACTGTTGGTACACCATTCAAATAATAGTATTGTATAAACATTTGGCTAAGCTTTTAAGAGCTACTTGAAGACAAAAATGCAAAGCATCAATTGCATCGAACTTCTCTAGACCAGGCTATAAAAAGATACTATTTCTATCCCTTCAGCCATATGGCTGAGATGATTTTTTTGACAGACCAAATACTATGTCCTGAGATGCACCAAAAGCAAAGAATAAAGACAGGGGCATTAATTGACTGGTTTGCTAGTGAATCACAAAGCTTTATATGGTTTTATTCCAGCACTCTGGCAGGCTTTGATCACTAGCAGCTCCTCCTGGCATTATCCAACTGCTGATCTTGAGCTGTCTGAAAATTTGGGAAGCTCCAGTCCCAGAACCTCAAGAGGACAACAAATTTATTTATAAAATAGTGGGGCAATAAGGTAAGTCATTCATTTTGAAAGTGAATATAAGTGGTCCTCTCCAATTGTGGCTTCCAGTAATTTTCATTCAGTAGCAAACTTCTTTAAAACTTTGAAACACTATTTTATTATTTTTCTTTCTTGATTATTTATCTGTTGCTTCAACTGCTCCAAGCAGGATATTCAGCACATCCATAACCACAGTGACAACAGTCCTTATAGTTAATTTAATACTTTATTTATGACTGATCCCTTAGTGACTATTTGAAGTATGGTGGATTTCCCAAAAGCTACTTATGACCTAATTTCCAAGTTATAACAACTGTATGCACATGCACGCACACACACACATACACACAGACATGTGATCACATTTTGGGCACTTTGCAAACAGCTCACATTTATAGTTGTTTGCAGCATCCCACTGTTTGGTATCTACAATTTTCAATGGTGGTTTTTTTTGTTTTTTGTTTTTTTTTTGCCAATTTCTGGTGTTTACTTCTGGTTTCCCGCAAAAACACTCAGTGGGTAAAAATGCAGTCTCTTAATGACCAGCACAAAAAATATCATAAAATTGGTACCGATCATGTGGTCACCTGCTTAATGACTGCAAAAACAATTTAGGCCAGAATTACCATTGAAAGTTGAAGTCTACCAGTATCTTAATTCAGGAGTTAATGACCATTAACCCAACTGCATCAGAAAAACTCTAGGCATAAACAATCCCAAAAGGCAGGGTGGATATTTACTTCAGTTCCCAAAGGCTTATTAGGGCAGGCGGGGGGAGGGGGGAACCTTGACCTCCCTAAATTCCAAATTTCTTGAGCAAATTTCAAGAGGGAGGAAGATGATGGCACACTTTTATGTAGACATAGGCTAGCACAGAAATGGCCCACTATTATGGTTATTAACAGTTTCTCAATTTGAAAATAACTATAGCTATGTGGGTATGAACATGAGAAAACAGGGCTTCACCTTTTTCAGGTTCATATCTACATAGCTATAGCCATTTGTAAATTGTTACTAGTAAGTTTAGATGAAGGTGACCGCCATTTTGATTATTTTTTTCTAAACCATACGCTGTGGATCTTCTTTCTAGACTCAGCAAGCTTCACCAACAATCTTTGCATATGTACTTGAAAAGCCTCAAAGCATTTGCATAGAAGACCAAAGAAACTACTTGGATAAAACAGCGAAACTTTTTGAACCAACAAGAAAAAGAAGTCCATCTGCCGTGACTCAACTTCCAGAAAATTCATCTGAATAGATTCCTCTGACATATAAAATAATAACAATTTCTAAATAAGTACTCTGCACTAAAAGTTCTGTGACATTTTGAAGACAAACACATTTACATAAATTAAGTCATATTTTGAAGCTCAGGATGTTTAGAAAAAAATAGTGGGAGAAAATAGCTAATGCACTTTTAAAAAGTTTGTAAGACTGGCATTTCAGTTCATTTCTAGTGATTAGGGATGCGGACCTGTGGAAGAATCTAATCACAGAGATAAGAATACAGATGAGAATAAGTCTTTGACTTATAACCACAACTGAGCCTAAAATTTCTGTTGGTAAGCAAGACAGTTGTTAAGTTGCCCCATTTTATGATCTTTCTGGTCAAAGTTATTAAGTGAATCACTGCAGTTGTTAGTAGATTAGTAACACAGATAAGTGAATTTAGTTTCCCCAGGACATTGCAAACATCACACATATATGCCAGTGGTCAAGCACCTGAATTTGACCATGTGACCATAAGAATCCTGCAACAGTCCTATATGTGAAAAACAGTCATAAGTCACTTCTTTCAGTGACATTCTACCTTAAACTAATGGTTGTAAGTGGGGACTACCCATATTATCAATTTCTTGGCAACCATATTTTAAAAAAACCTCACACATGAGCAGCATACTATATTCTCAGAGATAACTGGGGGCCGCTTGCTTGTTGCAAAATTCTCTAGGCATAAATGTGCATAGCAAACTGTTTATGTGATTTCATACTAATAATAATATATACAATAGGTTGAAATAGGGAAGGTGAATAGCTTCAGTTCAGTTCCTAAGGAGATCTTCTCCAACCTCCATATGGAGGTAAATTTCAAGCTACCATAATTCCTGTTGAGTTGGTTGGTAGTTATGAGTGCTGAAATTCTCTATGTCTGGAGAATGCTGGTGGGGAAGACTACTGTAAAGTTGCAGCAAATAGTATGAAGGTTCTCTATCAGCATTTTATGGAGCTTGCACCATTTGAAGAAAAAATAAAACCTTTCAGCCAAACGGACAAAATAATCAACTTTGTAGAAGGTACAGTCTCCTATTAGATCATTCTAACTCGTCCCCCACCTCCCAAAAAAAGCATTTATTTTGGCAGAAAGAAAGCAAAACTCTCCAGTAATAATTCAAAAATAAAAATGTTGTCAAGAATAAGAAATCTGAGAGACACCACCCTGGAACTGCCCTAGAGTTGTTGAATAACTCCACATAAGGATTTAACTAAACACAAACATCTTCAGATGGAAAATAAAAACTGGTTTTAATCAAGATTCAAGCATATGCAGATCATGAAACCAAAATATGGATGAAGGGGGAGGGATCTTATATCCCAAAGTCTGAGGATTTCAGACAAAAGTCAGTTTCCAACCCCCCACAATCTATTTTTATCCTCCAAATAGTCAAGTTGCTATACAGCTTGTTTGCTGCCAATGACTCAAATTTACTGTCAGCATCTTGACAAGAGAGATTCGAATGAAACAACGTTCCTCATAAATGAGTGCTATGACTCACTGATTTCTCTCACTGATGATGCAGAGTCTCTCCGTCTGCCCTTCCAAAAATACACAAGGAGACAAGGGATTACAGCTTGAAGGAAGCAATCTGCAGAAACGCATTGAGAGGGGGGAAAAAACACACCCAAATCGAAAGGGATGTATTTTGCAGCCTAGCCAACATTCAGGTCAACAACTAGACTGATTGTACATGTTTAAGAGGCTTTTGGACTACTAAAACGACCATCTGAAAGCTATCCAGGAAATAGCTTTTGACATCAAGAAGGTTTTCAAGAGCAATAGTTAGACGGTTGTTATTGTGGAATCCAACTAGGATAATGAAATGTCTGCAAAAAACAATCAAACTTTGAGAGCACCAAGGATTCCAGAGTTCAACCCTCATCTACAAATATTTACTTCTAATATCTATTAATATTATAGCAATATTCAGAACATATATAAAATTAGATGTAAGGATGAACTATGAAGTATTCCACCCTTAAATCTGGAAGATGATTCAGGATCAGTTCTTCTTCAATATAGTCTGAATATCACCCATTTTGGGCAAATAAATGGAGGGGGGAGAATCAGAATACTACAATAACATCACTCTGGATGGTAAAAATATATAATAGGGACCACGTTTTATTTTTATTTATTTATATCCCACCTTTATTATATTTATAAATAACTCAGGGCAGTGAATATCCATAATGCCCCTCCCTCCTCCTATTTTTTTTTTTTTGTACATTACAGTAATAATTACATTGTACACAGACATCAACTTTCAAAAATTCAAAAAGCACTTCACAAAAAGTATTCACCAGATAATTATGTAACATTTCATTTTTTATAAAAATCCCATGGTGAACAATTTGATTTGATCCAACTAGAATAGTACCAAGCTTTAATCATATTTACGAACTTATTAATGTACTTATTTTTATGTAACTACTTTTGTTTTGTTCTTCTGATAATATGTGGTATTAAGACCTCAACCTTAAACCAGAGTATTCTGTAAGAATTTCTAATAAAAAATATCCTGATGCTTTGCATCACTTCAGAAATAGTCTTATATCAATTGCTAGATTTCCCCACAATATAAAGAATTGGAGCGTTACCACTTTTTTGGGTTACCATTTCTATGTATGTAGTCAAGGAAAAGGGCAATTTAATATAAATACAGTACTTTTCATAGTTTGCATCCCAAAGTGCTTCTGTGTTCACATCTCCTATAAGAGGTTGAATACATAAAAGAAAAAAGACAGTAATCACAACTTCATTGATAAGCATCTTGAATCTAGTCTGATTCACTGAGTTTATCAAATGAGCTCATATTATTTTAACCTAAAACTGACATTTGTAATCATTAAAGCCAAGTCATCAATATATGCAGGACTGGGTGTGCCATTGTGATCA